CATAGAATTAAAATTAACATGTTCTAGTCTACCATGCCACACATTGGAAGACTCAAGCAAGTAAGCAGAAGAGATTTTATTATTATTATTAATAATAGTCATTACATTGAGCTTAAACAGCCCATCACATGTATACCCCTTTCCCACATACATTCCTGATTTAGACAAAACTAATTTGTCCAACTCAAAGACCATGCGGAAACCATGCTTGTTCAACAACGAGCCGGAAATCAGGTTTTTGCTTATTTCCGGAACAAACAGCACTTGGTTGAGAGTCAGCTCTTTGCCCGAAAACATCTTCAGGACCACCTTGCCCACGCCTTCAACCGCGGAATGAGCCGAGTTACCCATCCACACTTTCTCACCATTTGATGGCTCAAAAGTTGTGAATAACTCCCGGTTTGAGCAAATATGACAGGTTGCACCGGTGTCCACAAACCACTCCTTGGAATTGGATCCAACGAAGTTGACTTCCGTAACCACAACCGCTAGGATGATGTCTTCATCCTTTTGCCCACTTTGCACCAAGTTGACTTGGGAGTCTTTCTTCTTCCGTGGTGCCTTACAATCCGAGGACTTGTGTCCATTCTTGTTGCAATTGAAGCATTTTCCATTAAACTTTGTTTTGGAAATGTCTCCCTTGGGACCGAGCTTGCTCTTCCCATTGTTTTTATTTTTGGAGCCTTTTGCATGCTCCACCACGTTGGCCTTGGCGCCGTTAACGATTGGGAGTTTCCCATCATTCTTCCGGTTATCCTCTTCAATCCGCAGATGGAGGATCAATTGCTCCAAGTTCATTTCCTTTCGCTTATGCTTAAGGTAGTTCTTGAAATCCTTCCAAGCCGGCGACAATTAATGAATAATTGACGCCACTTGGAAAGACTCACTAACTGTCATTCCTTCATCTCGAATTTCGTTGAAGATCATTTGCATTTCCTCAACTTGACTCAAGACCGTCTTCGAATCCACCATTTTAAAATCAAGGAATCGACCAACAACAAATTTCTTTGCGCCGGCATCCTCGCTTTTATATTTGTGGTCCAAAGCATTCCATAGATCCTTAGCCGTAGCTAATTTGCTATAAACGTCGTACAAAGCATCATGCAGCCCGTTCAACACATAGTTTCGGCAAAGGAAGTCAGAATGCTTCCAAGTTTCAACCGCGTTGAAAGATTGCGCATCCACCTCACCCCCGGTTGCTACCGGCGCATCTTCGGTCAAGAACCTTGCAAGACCGAGAGTAGTGAGATAGAATAGTATCTTTTGCTGCCACCTCTTGAAGTTTAACCCGTTAAAATTTTCGGGTTTCTCCACAGAGTTGCTCGGCACGGTAACCATAGGTATTGCCCCTTGATTGCCCAAAGTAGATGCACCGCGTTGTGAACCATTGTTCACCGGTGCTCCACTTTCAGATTGATTATCGTTTGACACGTTCTGCCCACCAATATTTCCAATTTCTTGTGAAGCCATTTTAACGTTTTCAACGTTTTCCGAAAACACAAAAATTAAGTTCGTTCACCGAAGTGACAAACTACGTTTTGTAGATTGTTTACCGCAGTACAACAACCAAGGAAAATACATTTTAGGATTGTTTACCGGAGTAGAACAATCACCGAATACGTTTTAAGATTGTTGGGTGTGTTTCGGAAAAAACGAAGAAATATTAATTAAATAAAATTAATTAATAAACAAAATAGCTAAAAGAAACCAGAAGATAAGATGGAGCAGATTTTAGCCAGAGCTCGTGCTACGCACGATGTCCTTAAAACGTATTCGTCGCCTCCCACGGTGCTAGGAGCGTTGCAACGACCGTTTCCCAGGATACGGTGGCTAACGAACGATCGTTTGAGCACACAAACGAAAGTTCCGGCGAACTGGAACACAACAAGAACACTTAGGAAATTTGGGAGTAGCTGGAAGTGTTTTTCGTTCAAGAAAACGTGAGGAATGTATTGTGTGTTGTCAAACCGTGTGTTTGTTGCAAAGCACCTGCCAGCTATTTATAGGAGGATTTGTTTGTGTTAAATGGGGGTTAATGGATCTGAACGTTGGACATCAATGACCAGTCCGTTGGGCATTGAATCGTCCATAAACTGTCCATTTAACGCAACATTAAAAGAGAAGAACGTTGGGCATTAATTGTTATAACGGAAAAATTGCGCGACAGAAGACCCCAACAGAACACCCCCTTTGAGGGGTTCTGTCCGAAGCCAACAGAACACCCCTTCGAGGGGTTCTGTCCGTAGCCAACAGAACACCCTTCGAGGGGTTCTGGTCGAAGCCTTCTGTCCGGAGCACTTCTGGGGAAAAAACGTTTCGGGAAGAAAACAAAAATTAATCGTATCTCTTGAGAGATAGATTTTTGGACGGCATTCGTGTCCGCAGGTCGCCCGCGCACACGAGTCGCGGTTTTTCTTCTCCATTTCGGGATTTGATCGGCATCCCCCCCTGCGCGTAAGAGAGAGCCTTTACCCTTAGGAATCTTAACTCCTTAAAAGAGGCTTCCCTTTATAAGGGGGTGAAAATCCCTTGAGTTTTTCGGTGTGGGATAAAACACACTAGAAACTCATCATTTTCCTAGTTTTTCAATTTCAATGAGTGAACTTCGAGAATCAATTTCTCATTCACCCGTTATCCGATTTGAGTGTACCACATATCGAATTGTAACCCTTAACAAGGACAATCCGAAACCACTTTGACCCGACCCAAATCGGAAGTGGACCCCACTCAAATAATTGCTCCAAAATGACCATTTAATGCAATTTTTAACCCATTTTTCCAACAAAAGGTGTATCCATGGATTCTGGAGGTGGAAAATAACACACTCCTAGGAGTGTTCGAATGTATATTTTGGTCCGACAATATACGAGTGTACTTGTCTGAAGCACCCTATGCTTTGCACACAGAAGTGTAAAAGGAGAAGTAGCTGAGCATAATGCTAATGCTAAGGACGATTGTTGGGTTGTTATTGACGGCAAGATGAACATCCAGGCAGAGCCAACAGAAACGTGGGTTGTCTGTCTTGGCAACAGAACATCCAGGTGGAGTCAGCAGAAACTCAAGTGAACAGAAAAATTAATAATAAGCACATTAAATAAACAATAAAAATAAAAATTAACAAAATGTAATAGAATGCAACACAATACAACAAAAAGAAACACTATAAAACAAAAAGAAAAAAAAGAAAAGCAATAATATACAACATGATGCAATAAGAATGCGGTCATTAAAGAATATTATTTCAACATACACTAGTATTCATCATCAAAATTACAATTACAAGTGGTAAAAATGTATAAGAAAGTCATAATAAACTCCACCAATAGTAATACAATCCCTCCATCCAATATCCATTAATTCTAAAGACAAAATATTTTAGGATTGTTTGTAGCTGGTGGAGATTGAAGACCATGAGGGTAATAAACATATGACTTTCACTTTATTCCTTACATAGCTTGTTTGATTTTATTCATCGACAATCAATTAATCTTAAATACACATAAGGGAATGTCAATAGCAGAGGTTCAAGCCACCAATGACAAATAGCATAAATTATAACCCTCTGCCACACACCTGGAGCGTGAAATTGTTTTAATTGGCTAGGAAACATTCAGAGCAAGTGTGCTTAATTGAACAAAACCTTGGACCATAAACAACGACTCCAATGCTGCACAATGCTGTTTCCATGCCACACATATAGGATGTGACATTTGAAACACAGTCTCCTCCAAGCATAAAACCTAAAACCAACTTGAATGCATGAGTGAGTACATTGCAATACTCACACTCTAGAAATAAATTTGGAAAAAATAAGCTAGTTTCTATTAAAATTATGCAAGATCATCAACTCGTGCATAATTTAATTGAAAACCTAGATAAATATACAATGAAGAATCAAAATAGAAAAATCTACCAATGATCAATAGTTGTTTACTTATCTCTAAATGACATGAGAGTTTGGCTACATACTATTAGAGCCAAAAGTAAATAATTTGGACTTCAAAATATTTTTATAGGAATTTAGAATGACAGCTGGTGGTCTCAACCTATGGCACGTGTGTATGAGAGAAGATTATTACAAGATGTCAACCTTTAATACCTACACCAAACACAAAAATGAGCTATTAATGAGTGAAGATGATCTATGGACTATGGCAATAGTATATCGACAAACGAATTACATTTCCAGCATCCATTCAAATACACATACACGTATAGATTATAATGAATATGTAAACCGAGAGAGAAGACAAAACCTCAAAGAAGTTTGTTGAAGACGAGGATCTGCTGGGACGAAATAGAACCAAAATTGTGAGGAAGCTAGCCCTCGATTGCAGAACTATATTTTCCATAATTGCAAACCTGCAACAGCAACAATACCACTAATTACCAGAGCAATAGTATCCACTCTCGGGCTTTGGTTTTGATTTGGGATGGAGTCTGTTTTTGAAATAAATAGTTTAAAAGTGAAAAAGAGAAAGGTTATAAATGAAAAGTACTACCTCTGTCCCGCTATGATTGTCTCATTTTACCTTATCGGTCCGTCCCATTAAGATTGTCTCATAACAAATTTGGTAAAGTTTGTGTGGTTCTAAATCATTCTTACTTTACCAATTCAATATAAACCACATAAATAACTTTTTATTGATTTGTGTGTCGCTCCCTCTTGTCTCATTGTTAGCGGGAGGGAGGGAGTAAAAAATTAGAAGACATAAATGAAATACCGTAGGATACTACAGTAGACTCCATCGGATAATTCCACTTAATCCGCTTTTTTGTGTTGAAGCAAACACAAACACTCATAGATAGAAAGAGTCCAGGCCCACACAAAAAAATACTACTAGTATATTAAACGGTATTTCTATTTGCAGTCAACAAATTACAACCACATCATTATTATTAATAAATTAAATTAATTCAAATAAGGTCGAACCATCTCTTTCAACGCAACCGTTCGCTCTAAACCTAGCAAATTTGACTCTCATTCAGCAAAGCCCCTTGCTAAAGTAAACTTGGATACGCAGTCACGCACCACTCGCGCTGTTAAGAGGCCCAAATGTAACAAAAAATAAATTTGGACTTGGCCCAAACACCAGCCAAGCAACGACCGTGCCGAACCTCTCTTCGTCGACCATCGTCCTCTGAGAGTCTGAGCTCCGGTCGACCATCCACAGCCGCCCGCACCCCGCAAGCCATCGCCTGCCGATTCGTCACACACACGCTGCCCCATTACTCGGCTGCGCGATACCTCCCGTTGTTCTGCATCTTTGTCTCTGGCTACAAGCTGAGCTTAACACCCGCGTGACTGCGCTAGGCCTTCAGGTTTTTTTTTTTCAGTTTTTTTGGTTTTTAGTTTATACCCTTTTAGCTTTAGTTTCACGTAATTTTTTTCTTTGACAGACAACAAGACTATAGAACCTGGTTTTTAGCTGCTATTTTATGGATAAATAAATTAATAATTAATTGGTAACGTTTTTCTTTCAAGAGAATCATATTCTTTCCATCTGATTTGTATGATGATGGGGTATTGGTGTGAATCATTCTTAGTCTACATTCTGGTGCAAAAGTTGCAAACTTCATAAACACCTGTGACCTGCAATTTATTTACAAATACACACTTAAAAGTTTAACAAGAAACATACTCCGTATGTGAATATGAAGTTAACCAACGACACACCAATTAAACTGCAGCAAATGCAAATAGTGATAAATCAAAAGCTTCAAGGTCATCCCTTTTTTAAGGCTATCAAAAGTCTCACCAGCTTCAATTTATCCTCATGTTTTTAAAATTCCATTTTTTACTATTAATATCAGATTCTCAATTTTATTAGTAAGATTTTGATCGGTGATTTGTGAGTATCAATCCCATTGTTTAGTATTAATTCCAGTATCCCATTGGCGGTTGTAAGTATTAACCCCATTGTTTTAATATAATAGTGAGGACCTTCTTAGTACTTTCTAATTTATCATATGATGTGGTGAGTTGTTGTAGAGTTGGAAAACTAATGAAGAGTTTACAAGCTTTTGACTAAGACATTGATTCTTCGGCATAGCTGATCCTATTCATCGTCTCCATGGAAAATAACACCCAGATTACTCCTTGCCTCAACACCTTTACGTAGCTCGTCGAAGAGGTAAGATTCAAAGACTGAAACACAGACTTTCATTTTATATACATGCCTTAGAAGTTTAATCAAAATTAGGAATATTCACGACTTTTACTAGTAGTGGGCGGCACCATTATGAGTGTAGAACGCGTAGATCAATAGTGATGTTATTATGAGTTGTTATTTAAAAATATAATGATAGATTTATCATTAACACCTTAATTTTTTTACCAAAAAGGAAATAGAATGTTATATTGGGCGTCCTAAACAGGTAACCGAAAACCTTAAATTGGGACGGAGGGAGTATCTATAGGTTAACCTTTAATATTTTGGGGTCCATGATATTACTCTTTCTATCTGCTAAAATAATTTTAAATTGAATTCACATGGTACTCTAATACTAAGATAAATTAATACGATGCATCAAAACTTACTAAATTATACTCCCTCCGTATTGAAATGTTTGCTACACTTTCCTTTTGGGATATATTTTAATTTTTGCTGCATTTTCCCTTTTTCATAAGTTTTCCCTTTACAAATACTTAATTACTCTTAGTTTTTCTACTTTTTATCTTCTCTTTCATACTTTTCCATCCTCTCTCCTACTTTTTCTACACTATTCATTACCCCTACTACTTTCCCCCTAAACATTGTGCCAAAACCTATTGTAGAAAACATTTAAAATGGAGGGAGTATCGTAGATCGAACTAACTATTAGCTTGTATTTCTTTTTCATTTTTATACGAACTTTCTCCCCTTTCTATTTTACTTCAATTTATGATTGAATATTTTTTTTGCAATAAAATGGAAAAATAAATATTTAACACTTTATGCAATGCATTTTGGTCTCCATTCTAATACATGCATTCTTTTTTGCGTGAAATGCATGTTGATCTCATTATTATAGAGGCGGGTAAAAATGAATCCCATTGGAGTTTATTATGGAAATGTAGTAAGCCACCAAATTACAAAGTCTGAGTTAATTGATGTTGACAATGTGACATGCTAAGTTTGTTAATTTACTTTAGAAGCACCCATTGAAGATAGATGGTTTGGCCATGTTTGTAAAAGACCAAGTGATGTACTGCTTAGATAAAGTGAGAGGCAGGGAGGGGTCATCTTAGATAGACGTGAATTAGAGTGGTAAAGAATGATATTATACTTCTTGGGTTAGACAAGAGTATGATTTTGGAGAGAGCAAAATGGAGAGAGAATATACTCGTGGAACAGTAATTTGTTTGACTCCCTTCTCTCTATTTATTACATAGTACTACCTCCGTCCCGCTATGATTGTCTCGTTTTACCTTATCAGTCTGTCCCACTAAGATTGTCCCTTACCAAATTTGGTAAAGTTTGTGTGGCTCTAAATCATTCTTACTTTATTCTTACTTTATCAATTCAATATCAACCACATAAACCACTTTTTATTAATTTGTGTGTCGCTCTCTCTTGTCCCATTATCAGCGGGACAGAGGGAGTACTATTTATTATTATTTGGGATATTTTGACTTTGCACCCCACTTTTTGGGTGATATTGGACTTTGCACCCAATTTTCAAAACTTTTAGACTTTGCACTCTATTTCTCTAAAAAGTCTTTGCCTTTGCACCCATTTTGGAATTTTTTTTTCACAAAATGATTTACGATAGGGTGCAAAGTCTAAAAGTTTTGAAAATAGGATGCTAAGTCCAATATCACCCGAAAAGTGGGGTGCAAGTCAAAATTCCCCTATTTTTAACTACAATGTTGTATATCGATTCATGTTATCCTACCCCAAACCCTTATGGAATTACGTAGCACACAAAAATCATTTTCTAAAAGTGCTTAATGTTTTTTTTCCATCTTTTAATGCTTAATCATGCATTTTTCTTGTTTTAAATTTAATAAAATTAACTTTGGAGTGAGATTATAAAAGAAAGAGAATCCGGAATTTAACTAAAAAATTTAAATTATGATAGCATTTCTTAAATTCATTTCCATCATTTGCAATGGAGCCCAAGATTCATTATTTTTTGGCTTGAGATTATGATGGAATAAAGCAAAATGGATCACTAAAATGTTTGCGCTTCTTTGTTTTGAAGCAACAGTCAGTCCATGCAATTTTGGACGGGATTTTCACTATGGGTCATCCAGAAACAGTCTCTCTGTGCTTTAGTACAGGGGTAAGACTGCGTACATCCGACCCCCCTTACCCCACCGTAGGTGGGAGCCTTTGCGGCACCGGGGTAAATGAAAATGAAAATGATGAAAATGATAGCATTTCTTAAATTCAGTGGTACCGTGTAAGTAGAAAGGAAATAATGTAATACATTGAAAACTTAATACCACAGTGTACCGTGCAGAATTTCCCTAATATATATCTGTACTTTACACTTTTTCACTCTTCGATTTGTTATGGTTATAACTTATAATAACTACTTAGACTTCCCTCCATTCCCATCACTTAATCTTAGTATCTTACTTACTTAGTACTTACACTTCCGTTATTTACACATCTATACACCTCATCTAAACAGGGTTAATGTCTCAACTGTGAGGATCATCAGATGGAAGGAAGGAGAATGAGGAGGCTCGGGAGAGGACAAAACAGTCAAACTGTTTTGCCCTTGAGTGTGGGTCGTATTTCCAATATCATATCTTGCTGGTAAGCACTATAATCTCATTGCTTATAGCTCAGGATGCCTGTTGCCTCTCCTACTGTGTTTTCTTCATAGTAAGTTAAATGCTTACAGGTACTGCGACTTCAAGTTCTGTGTGTTAAATGAACCTCTCTTTGTATTTGGACGACGATACTCTAGGTACAGATTCCTGTTATGTTATTCTTTTTCTTTTGCTATATTCTCTGTGGCAGGACCATGGGTTCAGATAAATGTGATTGTTCAGCTCTTTTCATGTATCAGAATTATCTTTGGGGGATATATATCATATGCACCCATGTGCATAGGATAAGATGTATTTAATATCTGATTAGTGTCCATAAACAGGGACTCTTAATTAACATTCACATGGATGTGATGATGTGATACTATAACTCCTTAAGTATTTTATTTATGGAAAGTAATAAGTGTGTTCAATGAATTTTATCAAGTGAATAGCTGTATATAGTTGCAAATCCTTTGTTTTTGCCAACCTTTTGAACAGTAACCACTATTCCTTTAACAAGCAGTCTTAATAGTGTGATTAACTAAGCTTCACGAATCGCGATTACACCATACCTACTAATTTACAGGTATGGTAATACCATACTACACAATTGGGCTATGTTAGTACTCTCGCTGTGTTAGGGATCTACCTTTGTTAGGAGAATTGGGCCTAATAGAATGTTAGGAATTGGGCCTATTAGAGCAAGAATAATAATAAGTGTATTAGATTTGTATAAATAGAAGAAGCTGGGAGAAATAAAGGAGGCTTTTGGGACTTTGGTCTGGGACTGGGAAAGATTAGAGAATCACTTTCTCTTCTCTTTGGGAGGCTTCGGCCTTTGTTACTGTTACTGTTCTACTCCTTCAATAAAGATTTTCCATTGTTCTTGATATAATCTCTGCAATTTGTGTATATTCTGGAGGTTTCTATCATTGGTATCAGAGCGCGTTGATCGCTGGATGATCTTTACGTGTGCTATGATGGAAGCAAGATTGAACGAACTGGAAAGAAGTCAAAGGGAATCAACCGCAGCTGGGGCGGCGAAGATAGCAGACTTACGAGCTACGCTCGTGACCTTGGTGGAGAAAGGTCAACATCGATCAGGAAGCAGATCGCGTACATCGGACTCTTTGCATACTTCCTCGCATCGCACGTCTCACCATCATCATTCGCCTCGCCATCACCACTCGCGTCACTCACGAAAATCAGTCAGTTCAGGGGATTCGGAAGGGAATTCTGACCATTCGCATCCGCCTCGCTCTTCGCAGAGTTCTTCGCATCACTCTTATCATCGCTCGTCGTATCAGAGTTCGCAGACTTCCTCAATGGACATCAGTTCGCATTCAAGAAAAACACGATTGAAAAGAGAATCTTCTTCTGCACCAAAGGATTCTCACAGTTCGCATTCTTCGTCTAAAGTCCCTTCTTCGTCTAAAGTCGCTTCTCGGAATTCAGCTAAATCAAAGACGGAGGAATTACCTCTATTCTACGAGGATGAAGCGTACGAATGGATAGAGAAGATGGAAAGATATTTCCGAGTCCAAGCTATTGCAGAAAAATTTAAGGTTGATTTCGCAGCAAAGGCAATGGGGGAAGCCGCAGATGGCTGGTTTCAATGGTGGGATTTTCAAAAGAGAGAAGATAGTTGGAAGGCTCTAAAGGAAGACTTGATTAGGGATTTTCCACCTAGACACCGGCAGAAGACAAGGAAGACAGCCAAACAGGAGTCATCGAGGTCACCAAGAACTTCTCGTTCACAAGTTTCTCACCCAGCGTTAGAAACTTCCCCAGTCAACCAAGAAAAACCAGATGGAACCAACTGAACCTGTAATCAAGCAAGTGAATAAGAGAGATGAAATCAAGGAGAAAAGACAGGTTATTCAATGGCCAGATTATGTTTCATCTAATCTTGCAGAGGATTTGGATTTAGTTCCCAGCCAAGTTTCTATTGCTGACAAGCTTATTCAACCATGTTCTTTTGGAAATAGAGCCCTAATTGCTTCTGAAACTGTTCTTGTTATAGTCAACTATCTTTACAACCAACAGAAAGGTTTTCAGAAAAATTATGCATTGGAAAAAATAGATCTGGTACAGAGGCTCAGGAGGAGAAGGTTGGGCTTGTTTCAGGAGAATCTGCTATCATTTTTGGAAACCGCAAATCGATTCGTGATGCTGACAAGTCTAGTCATTTCCAACATCTTGGCAGAAATCCATTGCAACTTGCTACCTTAAGTGTTAAAAACTTGTCAGAAGTTCAAGGGATAGAATTGCAGCCAATTGTTGAGAGCATGAGAAGCTGCCCCAAGCTTGGCCTACATAACCCATTGAAAGCATTAGAAGGATATCTAAAATTGGGAGACATCACTGCAAAGACTGCTCATAGCCTATCAAGTCCTGATGTTTTGACATCTTCACAAGAGTATTACAGAAGATGGCTCTCAAGAGTTATCCGCAAGCTCTAGGCGAAGTTGTTGCACCAAATTTTTTAGAAATACTCTATGGTAACCAGGTCCATTTTCTGGCAAAATCTTCTGAAGTTTCAGGAAGTTATCTGGGACAGAACAGCCCTGGTTTGTGGACTTATGGTCCTTTGGAAATTGTTACTTCCTTTAAATCTGCATTGGATATTCCTGCAATTCAGCTGATGGGTGCATTACTCAAGGAAAATAAGCATGTTCTTAAAGATGACACCTGGCTATGCAGTATGACTACTGTGGGTAAGGAGATCAGGACTACAAATGACATGAAATATAACACATTGGGTGTAATCTACAGTAGACTAAATGTTAGTGGTCCTAGGTGGGTGATATATAATGGAAATCCAGTTTTTATGATTGCCCTACTAAGAGACTCCTCCAACTGTTTGGCTAAAGATGAGGGTGGTTGTAAGCCATGCTGCCCAAAAGGCAAAGAAGATATTGCAGAGTTTCCTTCTGGCAATTGTATATCCCTAGTAGGAGCAGCAGCAGATGCTCTAATTGCATGGAGTGATGCAACTGAAACTCATGGATTTGAGTTATATCCTGAAGCAAGAGCTATTAGCAAATGGAAGAGTGAGCAATGGATGATGGGGGAAGATCAGTACCAGCATGAACAAAGACACCGGACTAATATGGATGCTTGGAAGGAAGAGGAGCTAATGCTGTTTTTGCTGGAAGTGGTGAGAAGGAAGATTCAAGTCATGAAGTTCAGGATCCTGAAATTTGAAAGATACTGGGAAGGAAGAGGTGCAAGAAAGAAGAAGCAGAAGATCTGGGTTGTCTCCTACCGCCCACCTTGAGGGCAAGGTGGATGTTTAGGGAGGGAGTATTGTTAGGGATCTACCTTTGTTAGGAGAATTGGGCCTAATAGAATGTTAGGAATTGGGCCTATTAGAGCAAGAATAATAATAAGTGTATTAGATTAGTATAAATAGAAGAAGCTGGGAGAAATAAAGGAGGCTTTTGGGACTTCGGTCTGGGACTGGGAAAGATTAGAGAATCACTTTCTCTTCTCTTTGGGAGGCTTCGGCCTTTGTTACTGTTACTGTTATACTCCTTCAATAAATATTTTCCATTGTTCTTGATATAATCTCTGCAATTTGTGTATATTCTGGAGGTTTCTATCACGCTGTCAGTTATGTCCTGTCAGAACTCATAATGTTATTTTATCTTCATCAGGTACTTGAGATCTTGGTTTGCCATGGGGGTTGGCTTTAGTGTTACAGCTTTGCTTGCAGTGACTCTGGTTAGTCTCTAATTCAGTTTCTATATTTCAATTTGAAAAGAAAAAAGAATGGATGAAACTTCCGCGGTCCCTCTATATGTTTTGCCATTAAATCTAACCACCAGTGGTTTGTGTTATTTGGAAATGACACCATCAGATTCTTCTCTGGGAAATAAGCAGAATTCTGCACCCATACAACGAGGAGGGCCAATTCAGCTCTCTTTTAAGTGGCTCCTTTTTTGGCATTTCTTCTAACGTAGGTAATTTTTTATACCTTTATATTCCTGTTCTTCTTCTTGATTTTGAATCATCCTGTACAAAAACTTTCTTGTGGCAAGAGAAAAATGTAAGGGCAAATCATTTCCTATCTTTTACTAGATCACTGCTAACCGTAGTCCCGAGATGATAATGAGCAAATAAGACTCCGTAACTAAATGCTAATGTTACTCTCTACTTCCTGATGTCATGTTTACACATGATCATGTGTTGTGAAACACCTCTCTAACTTTCATTCCGAAGCCATATTCATTCTATCCACAACTGGCTGTCTTGTCGTTCTTATTCCGGATTCATAGTTCTGTCACATTTGTCAACACTAAAGTTGTATTCTATGAACTTTATACTGTAGTATCTATGCTATTTCATAAATTCAGTCTTTTGACTTTTTACTCTTAACGGGTTGCTGCATTGTCAAATTAAACTTTAAAACATTTATGTAAAATGGGTATTTGTGGACTTCGATGCTGTCAGGGTTCTATTGTCCTCATCTTTTACTGTGATAGAACACTGACAGTTTCCAGATTTCTATCTAACACGATAATCAAGAAACTGATCTTTCATTCAACTAACAGAAAGAAATACAAAAGAGATAGTTTCTGGGTAAGTTCGAGAGTGCCGGAGCTCTCCAAAGTTCTATTTTCTAATTCAATAACAGCCTACTTATTCCTCCCCTCCCCTTCTATTTATACTAAATGTACACTTATTATTATTATTATTATTTCTATTATTAGCCTAATAGGCCCGATTCCTATCAATACTCCCCCCCCCTAAACAACCACCTTGTCCTCAAGGTGGGTGATAGGAAACAACAATGATCTTCCACTTCCACTTCATTCTTGCACCTCTCCCCTCCCAGTACTTGATTGATTGCTGGACTAGGAACTTCAGTACCAAATCTTTTGATATCACAAACATTTCAGCAGCAGAAGAGATATCTAATGAAGTTTCGTACGCTTCAGCAAGTATTCCAATATTGGCAATCTTAACCTCTTTTGAGTTGTGGAATGATTGAATAGAAGACTGCCCATCAATACGAACATAGCTTATTCTTTTCTCAAAAACAAATTTCTGCACTCCATCAAGAATCTTAGGATAGAATATGCTTTCTACCACAGCTTCACAGCTCCCTAGTGCAATCTCACCATCCTCCAAATACTTTTCAGATTTATGACTATTGAGATATATTCCCCATTCACCATCTCTTGTACTCAGGAGTAATATCATATAAGGGCTATTCACCTCAATGAACTCTTGAATCTGTCTCCTCCTTTCATTCAGTTTGACATTGCCATCAATGTCAAGTCCGAATTCCGTACTTCCTCTCCTATCCATGCCAGAACCACTTAGAGTAGGGACTTCATCAATGCACCAGAAATATACAAGAATTTCTTCTTAACAGTAAGATGCCCAGCTAACTTCCTCTTTGGTGCAACATGATAACTTGAGTTTGATTCAGAGTTCTGATCTAATCCACAATCAGACTCGGAAGTAAAACCTTGCAAGCCATTGTAGAACCGAACACCACAACCATGCTTGATTAGTTCCTCAGTAGCATTAGTGTCTGTGCTGATGATTCCCTGAAGCTTCTTTCCATCATTTCCCTGTTCTATTTCCTCAGTTTCCTCGATGTGGACAGTCCCTGTAGAGCTTTCCCAAGTATTTGAACCAGCAAATTATCAATGACAGATTCATAGTCTATGGAGATAGAGGATTGAGTCACCACAGCAGATTTCTCCTCTTCATTGACTAGAGACAGCTCTATCTCTCTTCTGGCTCGGCTTTGTCCTTGATTCCTGAATACCTCATCTTTGTTACGTATCGTCTGAGAACTGAGAGATTCTCTTCTCGAAGGCTTCGTACTTTGACCCAAACTGAGAGAGTCAGCTCGCGACAAAGCCGGGAAACTGGGGAAAGTTTCTTGTGACTTGGACGAAACTTGTGAATTGAAACCTCCTGTCAATCTTGTTTCACTTGGAGGAGAAGAAGTTCGCGACTGCGATTGCGAAGACTTCTGCGAACAGATGAGGGAGTCGAGGGGTGATGACGAGCTGTAAGAAGAAACAGTAGTTCGCGTAGAAGATTGCGAACTGAGAGAATTTCTTGGCGATCGCTACTCCTGGTTCTCTGTCTTCCGACTGGATTGTTGGAAATGCCGATTTATGGCTTCCTTCAGAACCTCCCAATTCTTTTCTCTCGTTTGAGTTTCCCACCATGTAAACCAGTCAAACGCCCTTTCCTCCATAGCCTCTGCTGTCGACTAGGCGTCGCCTAGGCGCCGACTAGGCGTCCCGGAGGTGGAGGAGTGGTGCCATGCTCGCTCGACTCGCCTGAAGCTGCCAAGGCGTAACTTGGCGTCAATTAGGCGTCTGCAAGCGTCGTGGCAACACCCAGCGCTTGTTTATTTTTATCCGACCCGGCGTCTGCTGTAGATCTAGGCCCGTAACTCTTCATCCCGTCGGCCAGGTTGCTCACGCAGGTCGCCGCCTCAGATGGCTGTCGTATATAGCCGCCACTACTCCACCTCCATTTCTCTCACCCGTTCCAGGTTTCTGAGACTTGCGGGCTATTCAAACTAAAGTAGCCGCTGTACTCAATCTTTTTTATTGTTCTGCTGCTCTTTCTTTTGTTATTCTTGCTTTTATTCCTTCTACAAGCATAACTGGAGACAGCTGGAATCCCTTTACCTTGATTTTCTTTTGTGAAAAATTATACTCTGTATTGAACATCCGTTCTATATAATACTCTCCGTAATATAATTTTTTGTTGTTGCATATATATAGATATATTAATTTAATTTAATCTGAAATATATTATTTTATTCTATATAAATTATAAATTATATGTTGGTCCATATACATTTTTAATTCAATATGGAGTATGTAATATATTATTTTATACTTCCTCCGTTCCCTTTTAATTGCAACAGTCAACCTTTCACGTTTGCCAACGAACAAGTTTGACCATTAATATCTTTCATTCCCTATTAGTAAAAAAATTAAAAAATTCATATTTTGAAAATTTAGAATAAAAAAAAATTTAACAATATTTTTAAAAATTTAATTTATAATACATTAATTAATAAAATATGGTCAAAGTAGAATATGTGAATAGTGCAAAAAGTCCAATGTTACAATTAAAAGAGAACGGAGGTAGTATTATATTATATTATTATATATGTATATTTAAATATTACATGTGACAAGACATGTGGCTTAGTTGTTGCCTAGGCGGGTGCCTAGACGCCTAGGCAGTATGGCAGTTTGCTGGCGCCGCGACTCGACTTGCCCCGTGACTACTATGCCATCCATCCATAAGCGTCATCACCATTGAAAAAGGATGGACCCTGTGGTGATTGTGTTCCTGATGCGAAGGCAAGTAATCATAATTGCCTTCTGTACCTTCTGGACTAACAGAATCTCTCACATGTATGCAATGCAAAGTGCGATGTGGATTGTGCGACGAATCTTGTGCGCTTAGCGAAACTCGTCGTCGTCGTCATCATCATCACCATCATCACCATCATCACCATCATCGTCGTCGTCATCAGCCTAATAGGCCCGATTCCTATCATACTGCCTAAAGTTCTTTTATATAATGTCTGGATTTCTAGGCAATCAAAGAATCATACACTAGTTCAGAAAAAAGAATTATGTCATTCAACTCTTATGTGTGGGGTTTTATTACTGTGCTGCCCATTCATCTTAGGCACCTAAAGACACCATTTGGTCGATAGATGGTTTACATATCAAAATTCAATTGAACCACAATAGCTCTAATCTTGTAAATATAAAATATCCATCTATGATGTACAACTATATGCAATACAATTGTCACTTCGATATAAGGGAGAATATTTTAGCTTTGTGTTATTGTTTAGCTTCAAATAAAAGCATGTTGCAGAGTTTTGGTGTCAGGCATATAACAGTTGTTTAAGCTTAAACATATCTTCATAAAGGCCAGCCTGGTGCACATCGACATCCTCGCGGGGGGTCTGGGGAAGGGTCCCTCCACCAGGGTGTATATGGGACAAGCCTTCCCTTGTCATTTTGACGAGAGGCCACTCCCAAGACTTGAACCCGTAACCTCTCGGTCACACGGCAACACCGTAACTGGTGTGCAGGGGCCCCTCTTCCGCAAATATATCTGCATATCAAAAGAAAATAATGTGAAATCTTGGCTATTCCTATCACCAACTTCATGGTACACATGGTTTGAACTTTGAAATTATGTGCTTGTGACTTAGTAGGTTGATCTATGAATTTTTAGCCAACTAAGCTAATATAAACTAATCAATGACACTAGCCATGTTCAGTTTTCGTAATATCCGAGCTCCCTAGTAGCGATTGATAACTATTGACATTGACATCTGTGTTGCCAGAGAATCAAACTTGTAATTGCAATATCATTATTTGCTACCTTGCCAGGGTCGCTTATTTCAGCTTCCTAAGTATTGCTTGTTGTGAAGCTTTCAGGCTTGACCATCTCACTTACTGGCATTGGATACTTGTGTATATCTACGATTATATCTGTATCGGTTCACGAACTTGGGCATGCTCTTGCTGCTGCAAGGTTAAGTCTTCTTAGTGTTTTTAATTCAGTGGTTCAATGCAATAAACATGATATTTGTTTGGAGTTTATAACATTACATATATTTAATCGAGTGCGAACACTTACGCTATGCCGCAAAATAGTAAGCGCACAAATTGATATGTTTTGCTATGTTCTGTTTTCATACAAACGGTGTCATATTACCAAACATTGCTTGAGTCAGGCCGAACATTCATGTTCTCATGTCATCCAATAAACTGAATGTAAATAATTCTTACTCCCACCAAGTCCTACCATTACGGCTTCAAATCCTAATTCAAGATGCCAAGTAGTTAAAGGGTTTCAGTTTTCCACAAATGACGAAGTGTATGTAAAAATGTACAGTCGAATTAGTTGTAGATAAATTAGAATACTTAGCCTTATCTGATGTAATTTACTCACACGTATTAGATAAGTATGGTTAGGTAGTCAGATCCTATTTTTTAGGATCTCATCAGTTAGACTGTTAGACTTGTATTCTATATATATTGTAACCGAGTGATGGAATGAATCAATTTTATTCTCCCAAACTTACATGGTATCAGAGCAGGTTGTTTAAACACCACAATGGTGGAAACCGAACACTCTGATTCTTCCCCCCACTCACAAACCCATCACCCTAACTCCCAAATTAGCCAAATGACAAACTACCAGGCCTCGGTTAATTCATCTATGCTCATTACTGGACATAGATTGAATGGAACCAATTATCTAGAATGGTCGCAGTCTGTCAAGCTGGCAATAGATGGAAGAGGAAAGTTGGGATACATAACGGGTGAAGTAGAGGAGAAGAGTGGTGATGATGGCTACAACATCTGGAGCTCAGAAAACTCTTTGGTAACAGCCTGGCTTCTCAGTTCAATGGATGCATCAATCGCCAAACCTCACATGTTCATGAAAACTGCAAAAGAGGTATGGGATTCCATTAAAGAAACCTATTCAGATCTTGAGAACTCTTCTCAGATTTATGAATTAAAAACAAGGTTGTGGCAGTCCAAACAAGGAAGTAGAGATGTCATCTCATACTATAATGAGATGGTATCTCTATGGCAAGAGTTGGACCAATGCTATGATGCTGAAGACTGGGAAAGTGCCAAGGATCTGGCAAGACACAAGAAGAGGGAGGAAAATGACAGGGTCTATATGTTCCTAGTAGGAATTAATAGAGATATGGATGAAGTTAAGGGAAGAATACTTGGAAAAAAACCTCTACCTTCAATCAGGGAGGTATTTTCTGAAATCAGGGTGGAAGATAGTAGAAAAAGGGTTATGAATAACACTCCAGTCCATCATGATGAACCTGGAGAGTCCTCAGCAATGATTGCCAAAGGAAATGAGAAGAAGAAGCCTTGGTGTGATCATTGCAAGAAGTTGTGGCATACTAGGGAAACTTGTTGGAAGATTCATGGCAAACCACCTAGAGCAGGACAAAAAAAGGTTGAAAGGGCCCTACATACTGCCACACCTGAAACTGATCAAGAGCAACAAGTCAATTTCAAGCAGCCAATTTTCACCAAGGATCAGATAGAGCAAATCCTACAATTTCTCAATACCCAAAAGAACCCTAAATCAGAGAACCCTTCTTGTTCTTTTGCTCAGAATGGTAAAATTGCATCATTTTTCTGTTCTGGAAAACCAAATACCACCTGGGTCATTGACTCAGGTGCAACAGACCACATGACCTCCATTTCCAACCTATATTCTTCTTATAAACCCTGTGCAGGGGATAAGAGAATTAAAGTTGCAGATGGCTCTCTTTCAGCCATTGCAGGAACTGGAAATGTTAAAGTTTCCACTTCTATTGATCTTTCTAAAGTCTTACATGTCCCAAACCTATCTTGCAACCTTGTTTCTGTTAGCAAATTAACCAAAGATCTCTAATGTTGTGTTAAACTTTATCCTTCATATTGTATTTTTCAGGATCTGGCATCGGGGAAGATGATAAGCAGTGCTAGGGAAGAAAATGGACTCTATATTTTTGATAAAGGGACTGAATCAAATAAACAAGGTCAAAGAAATACTTGTCTGCAAACTATTACTTTTCCCAGTAATAATGAGTTGTATTTAATTCATTATAGACTAGGTCATCCTAGTTTCCATTATTTAAAAAAGTTGTTTCCTCATTTATTTCATAATAAAAATGTTTCACAGTTTTATTTTGATATGTGTGCACTTGCAAAGCATCATAAAAATTCATACCTTCCCCACAGTTACAAACCTACCAGTCCTTTTACTCTTGTGCATACAGATATTTGGGGAGCATCTAGAGTCCCTACCTTAAAAGGAAAGAGATGGTTTGTAACAATTATTGATGATCATACAAGAATGACATGGGTATTCTTAATCAAGGAAAAATCAGAAATAGAATATGTATTTAAGCAGTTTTATGCAATGGTCCAAACTCAATTCAATACCAATATCAAAATGGTAAGAAGTGATAATGGCCGTGAATACTTTTCTACAAATCTGAATCAATTTTTTGCTGAAAAGGGAATAATTCATCAAAGTTCTTGCATTAATACTCCTGCTCAAAATGGAATTGCTGAGAGGAAAAATAGACATTTACTTGAAGTTACACGTGCAATCATGTTTTCAATGAAAGTTCCAAAATATTTATGGGGAGATGCTGTTTTACATGCTACCTATTTAATAAATAGGATGCCATCAAAAGTTTTAGGGTTTAAAACTCCAATTAGTATTCTTCAAGAATGTTACTCTACTACTAGATTGATTAGCACTCTTCCTTTAAAAATTTTTTGTTGCACTGTGTTTATTAAAAATCCAAACAAAACTGCAAGTAAATTTGATCCTAGAGGAACTAAGTGTGTCTTTCTAGGTATTTCATCCACACAGAAAGGGTATAAATGCTTTGATCCTTCAACAAAAAAGATGTTTATTTCAATGGACACTGTTTTTGTTGAAAATCAAGTATTTTTTGATACTCATCTTTAGGGGGAGAGTTCAAATGAAGATGCTAACATTGTGTTACATAGTCATGACAATCTTGATTTTCTTGACATTAATCTAGATATGCATTCTATTGGAAACTTAGATGCATTAGAAAATGGTCAAACTTCAGAAAATAATGAAATAAATACAACTGATAAAATGGGAAAAGAAGAGCTGCAAATCAGTAAGTTCTTTGGCAAGGTTTATGAGAGAAAGGTTCCAAATCAAAGAGAAGAGGAAGTCTCTGAACCTACATCTGTTGATGAATCTGACCAGATGACAGTAAATGAAAAAGGTAATGACTCAACTGATCTTGATTTACCTATAGCCCTCAGAAAAGAAAGAAGGTCATGTGTCAAAAATCCTATTTCAAACCATGTTTCTTATTCTAGGTTATCCTTTACATTTGCAACCTTTTCTTCTATTGTCTCCTCTATTTCTATCCCATCAACCATACATGAAGCTCTATCTAAACCTGACTGGAAAAAAGCTGTTTTGCAAGAGATGGATGCTGTTGAAAAGAATCAGACATGGAAGGTTGTAGAGCTACCAAAAAACAAGCCCACAGTTGGATGTAGATGGATTTTTACTCCTAAGTTCAAGGCAGATGCCACTCTTGAAAGACATAAGGCAAGGTTAGTTGCCAAAGGTTATACACAGACTTATGGCATAGACTACACGGAAACCTTTGCACCAGTTGCAAAGTTGAATACTATCAGAATTCTTCTATCTATTGCTGCAAATTTAGATTGGCCTCTTCAACAATTGGATGTGAAGAATGCTTTTCTAAATGGAAAACTTGAGGAGGAAGTTTACATGAATCCTCCTCCTGGGTTTGAAAGCAGGTTTGGTTCAAGAGTATGTAAGCTGGAAAAATCTCTATATGGACTCAAACAGTCCCCAAGGGCTTGGTTTGATAGGTTCACACAGTTTGTTAAAAAACAAGGATATAAACAGGCCCAAGCTGATCATACTTTATTTATAAAATGCTCAAGTAAGAGGGAGATTGCTATATTACTTGTCTATGTAGATGATATTATCATTACAGGAGACTTTTATGCAGAAACACAAAACCTGAAGAGAAAGCTTGCTACTGAATTTGAGGTGAAAGATCTGGGAGAGTTGAAATACTTTCTTGGCATGGAAATAGCTAGATCAAAAAGGGAATTATTGTATCTCAAAGAAAGTATGTTTTAGATCTTCTTCAAGAAACAGGGATGAGTGCATGTAAACCAGCTGACACTCCTATAGATCCAAATCAGAAGTTAGGAGATGTCAGAGATGGGGTTATAGTCAATGTGCAACAATATCAGAGATTGGTAGGAAGACTTATCTACTTAGCACATACCAGACCTGATATTGCTTTTGCAGTTAGCATGGTAAGTCAGTTCATGCACTGTCCATATAAAGAACATCTTGAGGCAGCTTACAGAATTCTTAGGTATTTGAAAAGTTGTCCTGGAAAAGGATTGTTCTTCAAAAAGAACCATAGTAGGGCATTAGAGGCCTTTACAGATGCTGATTATGCAGGATCAGTGAGTGATAGAAGATCTACTTCAGGCTACTGCACTTATGTATGGGGAAACCTAGTGACTTGGAGAAGTAAGAAACAGAATGTGGTAGCTAGAAGCAGTGCAGAAGCAGAATTCAGATCAATGGCCAATGGTATATGTGAACTTCTTTGGATCAAGAGAGTGATCAAAGAACTAAATATGGAATTGGAGTTACCTATGAGACTATATTGTGACAACAAGGCAGCTATTAGCATTGCACACAATCCAGTCCTACATGATAGAACAAAGCACATTGAAGTGGACAGACACTTTATCAAAGAGAACATTGAAGCTGGAACTGTGTGTACACCATTTGTGCCTACCAAGGATCAAACTGCTGATATTCTAACGAAAGGATTGTTCAAACCAGTGTTTGAACAACTAGTAAGCAAGTTGGGAATGTATGATATATATTCACCAACTTGAGGGGGAGTGTAAAAATGTACAGTCGAATTAGTTGTAGATAAATTAGAATACTTAGCCTTATCTGATGTAATTTACTCACACGTATTAGATAAGTATGGTTAGGTAGTCGGATCCTATGTTTTAGGATCTCATCAGTTAGACTGTTAGACTTGTATTCTATATATATTGTAACCGAGTGATGGAATGAATCAATTCTATTCTCCCAAACTTACAATTGTCATGTTCTTTCGCCCCCTCTTCCTCTTCTTGTTCGGCTACCTTGTCATATTCCCCTGCCTCATTGGCAGGTGGCACCCATGGCCACCCTCAAGACCATTCTATCTCTAATTTACATTAGTTGCATCTCCATTTCCTACTGCTTCATGGCTTAAAGCATTTATTTCTATGAAAAATGTAACAAACATTATAGCAAGAAGAAGTCATGAGACATCTGGTTAATAATTGTGCATTATTAATTTAATAATTTTCATTGTTTCTAAATATTTGTGAATTTTTTTAGGTTAGCTTTTTAAGTTTTGTACTTCTATTACTGCTCTGAGTTATATTAATGAGGGTACATTATAATTTACTTCAGACGGCAGCTCTTTTCATAGCAGAACTGTCCATATGTGTGATAGTAAACAAAATGATGTGACTATGGATTCCATTACAGAATAATGCATTGTCAATTATAGCTGGGACTTTGTTTTGACAAAGTGATTATAAAGCTGAGATGCATTAGTTTTGAAACATATGACTTTGCTAGCTTGATACTTGGTAATTTTACTATGTAGTTTTCTTGATAGAAGGATATAGGATGTTTTTACTTGGACTGTAATTTGCTGGTCTGGTATGGTCTGTTTAAGTCTGGTCTGGTCTGTGTGTATTTTATAACTACGAAAGTCAAGCCTGGTCTGTTTAAGTCTGGTCTGGTTTGGTCTGTTTAAGTCTGGTATGGGACGGAAAACAGTCCAAGTTAAAACATCCATAGTAATACTGACATGGTTACAAGTCAAGTATTGATCTCAAAAGTGCTATGCTCCTATTCTCTGAAGTACTGTATTGAAGATTATATATATTACCAAAAGATGATTTAGATACCACCTTTCTGTTCCACAGTGAGGGCATACAAATGGAGTACATTGCTGTGTTTTTGGCAGTAATTTTTCCCGGAGCTCTGGTGGCATTTAATCATGAGACATTGCAGGCATTACCTAAATCTTATGCTCTTCGCATATACTGTGCTGGAATTTGGCATAATGCAGGAGTAAGTGCATGATACATGTTTGGGAATCTGCAAGTGTTCAATTTTCTGCCGCTTTCAGTTAATAAGTTTTTTTCTTTGCAGCTTTGTGCTTTTTGTGCCATTTCATTGTTCATCCTACCAGTAATCTTGTTTCCTGTTTACATACATGGTGAAGGACTCATGGTAATCAATCAGAGCAATTTTATGCTATAATTTTGTAAGATAGACACATGTTTCCTCAATTATCTTCAGGGAATGCCTAATGACGCGTATTAATTAAACTGGAATAGGTTTTACATGTCGCCTCAAAGTCACCACTGTCTAGGTACCTGTCTCCATATGATGTGATCTATTCTATTGATGGTATTCGCATTAATGATGTCCAAGAGTGGCTTCAGATCGGTAGCTCAATAACTGAGCAGGAATACCAACGCAGTTACAGTGCCTACAAAAGCAGTAGCGGAAAAGGTTACTGTGTTCCTTATTCATTGCTTGAAAAGAGAATTCATGTTCAACTGAGAGGCAATGAAACAATTTGCCCAAATGATCTTATAGACTTTGTAGCAACACCATGCCAGGAATTGAGATTATCAGAAGATTGGCAAGTGGAAAATATCTATTGCTTGTTTGCCAAGGATATTTTAGACTTCAAGAAATGTGGAGGCGGTTGGGCAAAAGCTTCAAAAAATAGAAGCAACTGCTTGTGCACACAAGTATGAAATTCAAGTTTAATCAAGATAAGTTTGTTTATCTGTCTAAAATAACCACTGAAGAATGTAATTGTTAAATGCATTGGTGATGTAGGAAGAATATTGCCTCGCTCCATTCCTAATGCCTGGTGTTGCATGGGTTGAGATCACATATATAAGGCCTTTTACGCCAGGATGTCAGAAGTTTCTAAGAACTCATTTTCTAGAAGATACGAACTCTGATATTGGTGACATAAGATGCTCTGAAAGTTTTGTATACATTGGTGATATGGCACCAATGCTGGATTCAGTTCATATAACTTCATACCAGCCTCGTTGGCCTACTAAATTTGGTGCTCATTTTCCAAGTGTACTGGAAAAGCTTTTGATGTCTATGTTTCATGTCTCTCTCACACTTGCTCTTCTCAATAGCTTGCCAGTGCGTATTCAGATAACCTCTGTCATCGGTGTTGATATATTGGTGTATTCACAGGAAATAAAATAAATGTTTAACTTTATATCACTCGGATATATACAAATTAAATGTTAGAAGTTGAAACAGTTGATTTGTTATACTGAAACTTGAAAGAATAACACTGCAATACTCACTCTTTACTAGTTATCGCAAGCTAATAAGGAAAATTATGAGGAAAAGAGTGTATTTGGATATAGCTTTTGCCTGATGGCTGCCTGAAGAAATGATTGTTTTCCCCTTTTCTCAGTATTAAGATGTATTAACACATTAGTTCCTTCTGTGACATCAAAATACTGGTTATTATTGAAGTTACCTCATATTCAGTAAAGAATACCATTTGCGTATCTCATGGTGTATCATGTGTTCATTACTTGTAAATAAGTTTCCTAAGCTCTTCTTGAAGTCGCATGAAAAATAATAAATTTTTTAGTGAGTGGTTGGTCATTTGTAAAACTGTAGAGTGCTATTATCCCGTTAACAAGTTGGGCTAAGCTCATATTAGCAAGGGCAAGGTTTATTGTTCATTGCATTCAACCTCACTTTTGGTTGCTCACTATGTTCTAGAATACTCACCAACCTTACACCAAATTTTGATACACTTACATTTGTCTTGATCTTGTAATCATATGATGCAATCTTGCACTCAGGTAGTTACACACTTAACATATGCACCTGTCATTTACCATGCACGTTTTCTGTACAACGTCCAGGTATATTTTCTAGATGGTGAATTTATTTTGGAGTTAACACTGCAGTACTTATGGTTCTTGAGCCCCAGAAAGAGAGGAGTAACTCTTCAATGTTGTCTACTTGGAGGGACTCTTATTTCAACCCTACTCATTTTCCGGACGTTCCTTTTGCTTTAAGGTATGACCATTATGCATACAATATACATCAGATCAGAGATCATATCGCGTTTTTCAGTTGGACGTGTGTAACTAAGTTTGTATTTAAATAGCTCAAATTATATTTTTTAACTTTAATGGAGGTGTATGTGAACATCCCAATTTCACACATCATCTTAATGGTTTGTGCCCCCCTCTATGGTCAGGCAGGAAAAGCTTTCACTACTTTGCCTGCTTATAATTTCTTAGTTTTAAACATTCTATACATTTGATGATCATTCTGATCGATATGTAATAGCTACGTCAATCCATTGTCAGCTCCGATATTGTTGTGGTGATTCAGTGTTGCCAACTGGATGATTAGTAAAAAAAACTATTGATAATTTTCATGTCTTATTTGTGGAGGGAATGTTTGAAATGTGTAACATGGTAAGAGAGGAAAATAGCTTGTATGTGTTGTTTTACATTGGAAATCAGATTTGGTTAAAAATTTAAAATTTTCACGTCATATTTCGTCCTACTTTGTTCAATAAGTCAATTAAGTCCTACTTTAAAATCAATCAATTAAACCCTCAAACTTTGAAAAAATGTCAATTGCGCTGTCGGTGAACCTTTGGTTTTCCGGTTACCTATATACGTGGGTACTCTCCAATTTTGTCTTGGATCTATATCTTTCTTCTCTCGTTGAAAGACCTAGGGTTTTCGCTGTCTTGGACGGTGAGGCTGATTTTGGACGGTGACCATGGCTGAGATGGGAAGTTCGAGACGGAGACCTCGCCTGGCTCAAGGTGTTTCACTTGTTTTGGGTCCCCATGTGTTTCCAATAAAAGCAGAGATTTAATCGATTTTGTAAATGAATGGATTATGGACTTGATGGCGTCCGTAAATAGGTGAAGAATTCTTCACAAAAAAAAAATACAAAATTCTGCACTTGAAGGTGTTTGAGGAAATTCCTCACCCAATACAGCAGCTGAGCAGCATAAAAGTGAAAGAAGAAAGAGTGTTTGAGGTTTGAGCTTCTGTAAATAACTTGTAGTCTTATACTCTTATACATATATCATTTTAATTTGCAAATCTGCTTGCCCTGTTCTTCATTGAATTTCTTTGTGCAATCAAAGGGGTTAGACTGTTAGAGAGATTTTGTGACTTGTGAGTTGTGACCGGTCACAGGAACCGCTGGCTCCTCTGATGGGGGAGATGGTGATGGCATACAAGAATTTTGTTAAAAGGAAAAATAAAAGAATGTGACATGTAGAATAGCTAGTTAAGTGGGTTGACCAGGAAACCTATTGTACACCGGTTAAATCGTTGAATTGGATATTTTCTCAAAGTTTGAGGTCTAATTGATTGATTTTAAAGTATGAGGATCTAATTGACTTATTTAACATAGTACGATGATTTATTTGACAGTTTTCTCCTTTTTATTTATATGAATAAAAAAGAAATTAGCTTGAAGAGAACTAAAAGAAAGGGAAGACAGACTTAATAGAATTGTCAAGAGTGAACAATATGAATCATAGTGATATTAATTACTCACATCATTTATTTAAGGAGTGCTTGGAATTGATTCTACTTTAATTTTAAAAGCAGAAGTACGATCAGAAATAGTTGTTTTTAAATTCGTCTTCTCAACTTCTAAAAAATAAAAACTGCTTCTTAGAGCAATTTGATCCCTTAAAAGTATTTCTGCATTTTCATCCAAGTATTTCTGCTTCTTATCCTCTGCACAACTCTCCACCACACAATTCCCACTTTCTTAATCACCGTGCCACTTTAATTTGGAAGAACATTTAGGGACCGAGGGAGTGCCAGAAAATCTCATATAAAATAATTTTAAATTTATTCAATGCTACAAAAAAGAATGTTTTTTTTCAACTTTTTACCTTTCTATTACCAATTTATTCAATGCCACAAGTTTCTAATGCGAATTTCTTGGACCATGTATCTAATTGCTACCACATTTTTAATTTGTATGCAATTGGTACCAATAACTTTAAAGAATGTAGCATTAAGAAGTACAAAACAAATTTGTCACTAATTTTACTAACATTTGTTTCGGTTGAGTCACTTCACCCGTTAAAGTAACCAAGGGCAGAGCCACATTGTTCAAATGTGTGTACATGCACACCCAAAAAGTTTAAAAATCGTATCTGTGGATAAGTTTTGTGTAATTGTTTATTATTTTTTAAATTCTTAATTGTAAAAAAAAATTGACACCCAAAATGGAAATTCAAAATCCGTCACCGTTAAGTAACTAATTGCAAGATAAGTTAAGTGTATATATATCTTACCTGTCAATTTAGCTAGAATAATTACTCTAAATTTGTGGCATCATTTATTCATACTCTACATGACATGTTACATGGCACATTATTATGTGACCAACACAAAAACTTTTTTATTTCAAGATAAACCAAATAGTAACCCCAACCCTTGATTGACTATGTATTGCCTGCAATTAGTTAATTTTTTGTTGGTCATGTGAGGATTAATCAATCACAGACTTGGATTGATATATTTGGACTAGATTAACAGTTAGGGTTAATGTTTGATTTTCTTGGAATTCGTCAATTTATTTTTGTTAGATACATAAATGTCGACGTGGACTGGTGATGTGCCGTTTTAACATCATTGTTAGCAGAAATGGTGACAAATTTTATTTGGTGCCATTGGATACAACATTTTTGGAAAGTATTGGTATCAATTAGATAAAATTAATTACGATTATGATAGTAATTGAATATAAGTTTTAGGAATTTATTATACGGAGAACTACCAAATAAGTCCTCGAACTTTCATAAATAGTCCAAATAAGCCCTTTTATAGGAGGCTCTGTCCGGCCCTCGCCATTAGGGGCGGTTTCTGGTGGACTTTTTTGATAAAACTTTTTGAGCATCTTCTTCATTAAGTTTAGTTTACTCATAGCAAATTTCAACTAAAAATTCAATCAGGAAGGCAGTCAAATGAATTTTTGAAGATAACTGCGCAGTTTAGGGATGGATTCGGTTCGGGCCACCCGGCCCGTGACCCGGCCCGGCCCGGTACTGTGCGGGCCCGGGACTGGCCCGGTCGGGCGGTCCGGGACCGGGTCTGGGCCCGAACCAGGGGGAAGGGGCGGGGCGGGCTCGGTTCAGGATTTTGTGACCCGGCCCGGCCGGGTCGGGCCCGGGTCCGGGTCCGGTTCGATCAATTTTAAAAAAAAAAAAAAATTTTGGGTTGGGCTCCTACTAGCCGTTGGGGGTGGGGCTGGGGACAACCCAAACGGCTATATAGCCGTTGGGTGGGTTATAGGGGGGGTCCGGGGGGTTGGGTGGTGGGGGGGGGTGGTGGGGGGGTGGGGGGTAAAAAAACCTATAAATACTCCTAATCTTAAACATTTTTTCATATCTCTTCTCCAATTCTTCCTAAATCCTATTCTTAACTCTCTACTCTCTAATTCTCTTATTCTCCATTCTCCAATATATTATATTTATTATTTATAGTTTATATTAATTATCTACTTATATAAACTATAAATAGATATAAATAGTATTATATTACTTATATTTGTTATCTAATTATATATTACTTATATATTTATTATATCTATTAATATAGTTGGAATTATATCTAATTAATTTGAAGTCATTGTATTACTCCCATCCGAAAGACCGAAAGTCCGAAAGAGGTACGAAATTATTCGATTATTTACACTTGTTTAATTACTAGTTAATTAGTATAGTTGGAATTACGATTTTTTATTAATATAGTTGGAATTACAATTTTTTATTAATTGCTACATTTGACTCTAGTTTATAAAATATGTTGTACACAAAACTAGTTAATTCACTACTTAATTTGCTATAACTCGAATTAATAGTTAGATAAATAGTTAATTAGTTTTTTACAATTTTTTATTAATTGCTACATTTGACTCTAGTTTATAAAATAATAAAATATGTTGTACACAAAACTAGTAAATTCACTACTTAATTTGCTATAACTCGAATTAATAGTTAGATAAATAGTTAATTAGTTTTTTACAATTTTTTATTAATTGCTACATTTTTTAGATGGATCGTCCTAGATATTCGGTTGATATGGGTAACCTCGAGCGCAACCGAACGAACGAGCTTGCGAGGAAGAGATCCCGCAAAGGTAAATCACATCTCGGCTCTTCATCTCAAAGTCAAGATGATTTTGATACGGGTTACGTAAGGAGGGATGGGGATGCGATGACCGACGAACAACTAGAACAAGAATTGCATCGACATAATTCCCGCTTTTTTCAAGACCAACCGAGGACCATTGACGAAGAAGAGCTCGAGGACGAGGACGACGATGTGGAGGAAGCAATTCCGGAGAGCCACGACGACGAGGAGGAGGAGGGTGGCGGCAGCCATGACGCCGACCAAGCAGCCTCATCCCAAACAGGTACAAAAAAAAGTAAATCTGAATTAATGGCTAATAATTTTTCTAAGTGGAAGGACCCGAACACCGGGAATTGGACCGCAACTTGCAATTGGTGCAAGAAAAACTATAGCTTGGGGATTTCCGGCGGATACGGATCCGCCACAAGACACCTTAAGTCCAAACACCCGGTGGAGTATGCAAAATTAGGCGGCGGAACGGGGAAACAAATGCAAATATCGAGGTTTGCAAATAACCAACAAGCTTTTGGTAATTTCTCATACAATGATGCACAAAATTTGACAGGTATGGCTAACTTACTTGTTGAAGAAAATTTGCCTTATTTGTTTTCTGAAAGTCTTGCTTTTCGTGATTATGCACAAACTTGTTTAAATCCGCAATATAGAGGTTATAGTCGCAAAACGGTTAAGAAAGAAATTTCAAGGCTTTATGGTGCGGAAAAGGTAAGGTTACAAAATTATTTTGCAAACTTTGATGGACGTGTTACTGTATGTTCTGACATATGGGAGGATACTTATCATAATTTACATTATTTGGGTCTGACTGTACATTATATTGATAATGATTGGCATATGCATAAACGTGTTCTTGCTTTCCGTGAATTTAATGATCGTCACACCGCTGAACATATTTATATTTTGATTGAACGTATTTTAATTGAGTATAATTTAATTGATAAGGTGTTTGCTATTGGTTTTGATAATGCTACTAATAATACTGCTGCTATTCCTAGATTGCGTGAATTGTGTGGTTCTACTTCTTTGATGGGTAGATTTTTTCATCAACGATGTGCATGTCATGTTCTAAATTTATGTGTGCAAGATGGTCTAAAAGCGTTGGGAGCATCGTTGGAGGTAGTCAAGGGGGGATTAGACGTATTTGGGGTAATGGACACCTTAGGAAAAAATGGCATGATTATTTGATTGAAAGAGGTGAGAGATATGTGGCTTTTCCAAAAGATTTGTCTATTCGTTGGAATAGTACCTATAAGTTAATTGGAGTTCTTCTTAGATATAAACAACATTTTCCTGCTTTTATGAAACAATATGATAACTATATTATAAACTCGGCTGAGATCGACACCTGTGAAAAAAATTGTAATGCTTTGATATATTTTAATAATGCAACTGAAACTTTTAGTCATGTTTATAAACCTACCTCAAACCAATTTATTCGTGAAGCTGTTAATCTCGCCGGTGCTTTTTCAAATTTTGAGAATGCTGATTATGTGAATTATTTTGCTGGTTTTATGAAGGAAAAGTTTTTAAAATATTATTCACATATTCCGCATATTTATGGTATTGCATTTGTTCTCGATCCTCGTTTTAGACTTGGTTCTTTAGAAGAATGTTTGAATTATTATTATGCTGCTTTTTTTGGTCCATTGCCAATGTATGAGGACAACCCAATTGATCCGAAAAAAGAATACAACGAGGTTAGTGATATATTTTATGCATTATTCAATGAGTTTCATGCACAATATGGCAATGCGCCCCCTCCCACGACACAAACATCATCTAAAGGAAAATCAATTTTCAAATCTACGTTTGCCAATCTTATTAAAAAAACAAAATCAACTCCCGCTACACAACAAAGCACAATTAATGAGATTTCTTTGTATTTAACTTATGATGTTGATTTTGAAGAAGATGATGATTTTGACGTACTAAACTGGTGGAAGGGAAAAGAAAGAATGTTCCCGGTTTTAGCAAAGATGACTAAGCAAGTGCTATCAATGCCGGTTTCAACGGTTGCCGTGGAACAAGAATTTAGTTCGGCCGGCAATGTTCTAACACAAACCAGAACGGGGTTGAGCGCTGAATCTCTTGAGATGCTTATATGCTACCACGATTGGTTGAAAGCAGCACGTAGAGCTCAAGAAATTGACATCACTCCATCACAACACTTTATGGATGAATCTACAGAGGGTGGCTCTACTTATGCCGGAGATTCCGATTAAAAACAATTATAGTTCCTATTTAATTTTCAAATGTAGTTCCTATTTCATTTCAAATAAATGCACTTGAAGTTTGTTTTTTAATACTTGTATAAAACTATAAAGTATAAAATATAAATTTAAAAATAAAAAAAAATTACCCGGCCCGGCCCGGCCCGGCGGGTGGCCCGACCCGTGACCCGGGCGGGTGGCCCGGCCCGAACCGGACCCGTCCAACCCTCGGGCCGGTCCCGGGCCCACTATTCTAGAACCGGCGGCCCGACCGGGCCTAGGCCTGGCCCGGGCCCGACCCGGCCCGAATCCATCCCTAGCGCAGTTAGGCAACATAGTATATTTCAGAAAACCATTTGACTGCCTACTCAATTGAATTTTTAGCTGAAATTTGGTATGGGTAAACTAGACTTAATGAAAAAGATGCTCAAAAACTTCCATCAAAAAATTCTACCGGCAATCGCCCTAAATGATGACAGCTGGACAAAGCCTCCTGAGTTTATTTGCACTTTTTATGAAAGTTCGAGAACTTATACGATAGTTCTCTCTTTATTATATGGAAGAGGTCAAAAACCACATAACCAATAACTGGCGACGATGATTCATTTGTACTAACGGAACATGTGAGTTTTGACAGGTAGCGGCGAAGTTGGACAGTAGTTATGAAGCATTCAAACATGTGAAAAACATTGCTCTGTGGTCCCATTATAAAATACAAATAGAGATTTGTGTAGGCTTTAAGAGGATAAAGGATAATAATAATTCTATTCACGACCTCAAATTTGTTATTCAAGGCGGAGCCAGGGCACTAGGTCATACTGAGCCGGTACGAAGAATATTATTGGAAAAAATTTTACACGAATATTTTTAGACTAAAAATATTGGTATTTTTTAAATTTGGGGTGGACCAGGGTCTAGCCCGGGCACCCCCTAGCTCCGCCCCTGTATTCGCAGTCATCAATTAATTATTAATAAAAATATGATGCAGCATTAAAATTAACTTAACTCTTCATATTAAAACACTCAAATATCATCATTAATTTATAATGATTCAACGCACTTTGTTTTAGATTGTTAACCTCTAAAAAGTAAGAAATAGTATATAAATTGGCAAAGTGAGTAAGTAAAAATTTAGTGGAATTTAATTTAGGAAAACATTTTTTAAGACAAAGCGAGATAGGAGTATTCGACTGTACAACTATATCTATTATTGTTCAAAATGCAATTATCTCTAAATAGGACACAATCATGGACGAAATGCACATGCAGAATAATTACTCGCGTATATTTTATAATCAAAATAGGATCAGATTTATTCCATTCTACTAAAAGTATAAAAATAAGAGTGATTTAAGAAGGATAAGCCACATTAACCGAGAAATATCATGAGTATACTTTTATGATCATTACAATATTTTAGAATATCCTTATCTCCCTTAAACACTTGAAAAAAGTGGCATTGTTTGATATTAATATGACATGGTATCATCCCGTTTGAAAATGGAACCGTACCGAACAAGTTTAGGTCTAAGACCGAACCGAACCGTTTGAATAGTCACGGTACGGGTACGGGTTTGGCCAAATATTGAATCGGACTGGACCGCGCCCACCCCTAACTAAAGTGTTAGTACCCAATTTTGATAGATTTTGATGATGCCGCTATACTTAGCACGTGTACATTGTGTCTCAATATTGTTCGTGTGTTAGCATTCAAAATTATGTGACAAAATAAAATGTACAA